CTCTCTCTCTCTCTCTCTCTCTCTCTCTCTCTCTCTCTCTCTCTCTCTCTCTCTCTCTCTCTCTCTCTCTCTCTCTCTCTCTTGTCCGCACTCTTAGTCTTATTGCTTTGGCTACCTTAGGGCTGTGTTCCCGTGCCCATGCGGTAGACAATTGTAGATGGTTGTATTTGTTATCTCTATATTTGCTGGTTAACCACCAGTACCTCCACTTTCTTAGGCCATTAACGCAGTGGCTGAATCGGCCTGCTGAGCGGGACTATATTCATTCGAGTCAGAGGGGGCCTAAGAATGCCGTAGGTATCTTGCCACTTGCAATTACAAATAGAAGGAAAAACTCTGTGCAACAGTAGGTAGTACTTGTTGGGCGAAACAGAAGGCCTTAGATATCAAAAAATGAGCCAGAGGGGGGTGGGACCCCCACCCCGATGACGACTGTGTCCTTTCATATCATCTCTCCTCACCCACATTAATTACCACTGAACACAAAAATGACCATAACAAAACCGGGCAGTTGAGGGGGGAGGAGGGGTGCCGGGGGGGGGGGTTGGGCTTGACCGCTGGATGGCGCCTCCGCCGCCCCTGGCTCCTGTGTGTCTCCAGTACTACCAGATTCACTTTCACACCACGGGCTGGGGGCCCACGTCCTCGCGGTATGTCAGTACTGAATGAGATAGGCCCTCGGCCCGGCCTTTCATAACGGTAAGGCCCAAATCATGCTTCCAAGGCGCGACCCCCCTCCCAAGCACTCAAAGCAGGGTGGGTGCGATGCTTCAGCTAGGCCAGGAAGCCTTGCGTAGGTTTCAGGACACTCGGGTCGCCTACAGGGTCGGCACGAATCATCAATCAAGAGAGTGTCAGGCAAGAACCAGCAGTACCGTTCGGCCGGACATGCTAGAAGACAACGCAATGGCGCAAGCATGGCAGGGGAACGAAGCGCCCTAGCTGTCCGCTGCAGGCCTCTGGTTCGCATCCTTCGTTGTCCCTCTGCCTCTCGCTGGCTCCCTTTTTTTACGCTCGCTCAAAAATGTCGCAGGTCTGCATGCCTTGTCCATGTGCTGAGGGGCCAATGCGCAAAAATAGGCAAAGCATCGTTTTCCGATACTTGCCAGCAATCACTATGGCATGCTGCCTTCACAGGGATTGGCGGATGCCAGGCAGGTGCGGCTCTCCCATCGACCCCGCTGCATGTCTCATTGGCCCTACTCACGGTCACCTGTTTGTCGTTTTCCCTCAAGTTCTGCGCAGCTTTGACTGTCTGCGACGTTTAGATGGCCCGTCGCGCTCCTCCCCCGTCCTCGTCTTATTCGCTCGCTTGGGACAGCAATACAAGAATGAGGTGCCATTGTGGCAGCGGGTTCTGAGGGTTGTCCTCCGCCGCAGTGCAATGGAGGAAGTCACGATTGTTGTTTCGTGGCTTGCGCGCCATTCTTCGGGGTTTCCTGGAGTAAAATGCATTCGGTATCGCAGGTCCGACTGCCCCGTCCCTGTCCGTCCTCTCCTCTTTCGTCTGCACTCGCGTCTAGCGGTGTTTGGCCTGAGAGGTGTAGCTAAGCAGGAGTAGCAGCGGGTTTCGACAGCAGCGATTCATTCTTGGACACGAGTGCGGAGCAGCGCGCCCTCACCGGAGGGGCCTGTGACGCCCTCGGCAGGGCCAGCAGTCAGCTGCAGCGGCAGGACGCCAAGCTGAAGGTAGAGCAGAGGTGGAGGAGAGGAATAGGGAGTGAGGTGGCATCACCGCGAGGGCAGATGCGAGGGAGGCAATATTTTTACCACTCTTTCCCTCTCGTAGATATGGTCCTCTGCCGAGCGTGTGAGGGAGGAGCACCTAGAGAAAGGGGCAGTGGCTTTCTGACTCGCCAACTCGCAGATTAGCGCTGGTGTCCCAAGTGATGAGGCACTAGGTTTTCCCACGGGAGCGGTGCATCCGTCCGTACCTCGAGAACGAAGGAACGTGGAACTGCAGGAGGAGGAGGAGCGGGGCGACGGGAGCCCTGAAGGCAGGATTTCGAAGGTGCAAGGAGTTGGTGGTGGTGGTAGGGAAGGCGGAGGAGGGGGTGCGGGAAGAAGAGGAGGAGGGGGAGGACGAAGAAGAGTGTGTAGGGAAATCAGGCGAGGACAGATATGCGACGGGAGCACGGCGACTACTGTAGGACGGTGCTCTCAGCTCCTTCCATTTGTCTTTCGTCACGCCCTTACGTTCTCGTTGTCGTGGGTATCGGAATTCGCGAGAGGAATGGATTTCATGGATGATCATCCCGGCGAGTGCCGCTCGATCCTTTTGCGGGCGACCGCAGCACAGGCGCCCCTTGCAAAGTAGCATATGTCTGAGATGACAGTATGCCTTTGTCTCCCGTTTTTTCTCCTCGCGGGCGTGATCTCGCGCCACCGATTGCCGGGTGGGGGAGAGGGAGGAGGAGGATGAGGAGGAGAACAGGGTGGGCATAGAAGAGGAGGGGGATTGGCAGTGAGTGAGTTGTTTGTTTCGTTCTGGCGTTTGTGTCGCCGGAGAGAGAGGAGGTAGGGAGAGGAAGGTTTTGTTGAATATAATTGGGTGGAGGGGTGGTGGTGCAGAACAGAGGAAGGTTCTGCAGCGGGCGTCGTGAATCGGTCGGTTCCTTGTAAACTCGATGCGCGACTGGTGGGGATTTTTTCAGAGCGATCGTAGCTGGTTAGTACGAGGGGTTAGGGAGGGTAGGGTAGGGACGGTGTATCACGAGGGAGGGGCGCCGTGCGAGAGATACGGTGAGGGCGGAGGGGTGTTTTGCACCAGATTGACGAGGCGGGAGAGGTGGTAGAGAGGTGGTAGAGAGGCGGATTCGCGAGGAGGGGCCAGCTTCGCAGGTCCGTGACCGCTGGCCTCCGACCTCGGGCGGCGGAGGACGCCGCCATGGAGCAGGATGATGAGGAATTCGAGCAGCTGCTCGAGGAGATTCCCCGAGCGACCTCAGCGCCTCCTCACTTGGAGGAGTTGCAGCGCGTGTATGGAACGCACTTCGACGATAGTCCATTTATGGTGCTGAGACAAGACGAGGTAACGGTGAAGCCTTTCACGGACATTCGCTGCGATGAACACTATGACACGTTTTATAAGATGTACTCGAGCACGAAAAAGCTGCCACCGCCCATGGCCAATCGAATGCTGTTCGCAGAGCTGCCTAGCATCCTGTCGCCGCGGGCGTCCTCGAATCATATCTCACCATTTGCCAGTGGGTTAGCGCTGGAGAGTCCGCGGTCGAGCATTCTTCAGCAGCGGCAGCAGCAGTTCCAATTGCAGCAAAAGAAGCAACAGCAGCAACAGTCGCAGCAGCAGCAGCAGGAGCAGAAGCATCAGCATCAGCACCAGCAGGATGACCAGCAGCAGCAGCATCAACAGCAGCAACAACAGCAGCAGCAGCAGCAACAGAAGCAGCAGCAGCAACAAGAGCAGCAACGGCAGATGATAGCACGGGAGAGAGAGGAGCAGACTCTTGCGTCGGCTTTCGGTGCATTGAACTTTGCAGAGAATTCATCGTCCTCTTCGGCGGGTTCGAAAGGTGTTGGACCCGTCGGGGCGAAGACGGCGGGATGTCAAGGTAGGGTGGATGACCCGAATGCCGATGGAAGGGGGGGCGGCGGCGAGTCGATTCAGTCCAGTTTGCAGAGTTCGTCAAGCGGGGGCGGGACTGGCGGAGGCGCGGGCGGAAGCCCGGGCGGTGCCTCCTTCGATGGCCTGGTTCAAGGCAACGGCCATGCTCGTACGCATTCCCATTCGCGCACACCGTCAATCGGACGATCAGGAGGGATGAATGGGGTAGCCTCAAGTCTGGAAGCATATGCGGCTGCTGCTGCGGCGGCAGCAGCAGCATCGGATGCCCTGGATGCCTATTCGTCTGCCATGGGTCCGACAGGAGGGGGGGGAGGCGTGGCTGGGGGGCGTGGCGGGTTCAACTCTGCCTGCGATTCGAACCTGGACGGATTCGTGGCCAGATCAGTGGGGCTTGATCACCTGCTGACGGCGAAGCGTTCGTCGCCAGGGTTGGAGTCAATGGCGTCGGGAGCGAACGGTGGGAGTGATGGCGGGTTCACCGCATCTTCCGCGAATGCGGCTATGTTGGAATCTCTGCTGCGGAGGGCTTCCCCCGCGCCCGATGCTGGGTACAACGGCGGCGGACGCCTGTCATTGGATGGACTTAGGCTGGGGTCCATGCCCGCCTCGATAGATGCGCTCGCCGCAGCGGCGGCAGTGGCAGTACAGGCCGGGATGTTTCCGATGAGCGGGGGGGCAGCGGGTGGCGGGCCGGGGGGAGGAGCCGGTGGTGTGGGCAGCTTGGATCTTTATGCGGCGGCGACGGCTGCTGTAGCGGCTCAGCAGCACCAGCAGCACCAACAACAGTACCCGCCACTAGATTATGATGTGGCGGCGTACATTCAGGCGCAGCAACAACAACAGAGGGCGCAGGCGGCCGCTGCAGCCATTCATCAAGCTCAACGTATTCAGCAGCAGTTGGAGGAGGAGAGACTAAAAAATCGGCAGCTTCTGCTTTTGCAGCAGCAGCAGCAGCAGCAGCAGCAGCAGCAGCAGCAGCAGCAGCAGCAGGAGAGGTACTACGGAATGATGAATTCGGGGAGTAGCGGAGGTAGCATTGGTCCGTACATGCGTAGCCAGTCTCCGATGAGACATGAATCTCCCGTCCATGGTGGACATGGAATGCCACCGTCGCATCCTCCCCCGCCCCCCCACTCTTTGCATCATCAACAGACGGCGTATCACAAATCACGAGGGCCGCTGCAGACGAGCGCCGGGTACGAGGCTGGATGGGGTCATCAGTCTCTTCCGGGCAACGGCGCGATCCCTGGAGGCCCGCTACCCTTCGGCGGTGGGTTGGCGTTGGGTGGGGCGGGGGGGGTGCAAAACATCGATCATGTCGGAAGGGGTGCAGGAGGGGGCCAGCATCCAGGAGGAGGGTGCAATATCTGCCGGTACTACGCGCAGGGTTATTGCAGCAGAGGTGACGGGTGTCCGTTCGTGCATTCACCGGCGTCCGGTGGATCGTCGGGGTACAATAGAGGAGGGCCACCTCCCGTGGGTGGTGGCGGTGGTGGTCCCCACGGAATGCCAGGGGTGCCTCAAAAAGATCCACGTGGAATCCCCTCTCCTCCCCCTCCCATGGCGATCCGGGATGATCGCTACCCTGTCGCATTTTCCCACAAGGCGGAGACTCGTCGCAGCCCGAGAAGAGGCATGCCGCCACCCCCGCCGCCGCCGGCAGGCGCGGTGGCTGCGCCGCCTGTGACGCCGGCGGTAGCCAGGAGGAAGTCGGATATGATGCCCAACGGACACATGAACGGCGTGTATTTGAATGGGAATCATGCAATTGGAGGCGGTGGGTTGGCAATGGGCGGGGCCCATGGGAACGGGCTGGGCGTGGGGTTGCATTCCGTGCCGTCGTCGAGAGGCAGCGGGGGAGGAAATCTGCCTGAGCAGTTCGACTTCTACAATGCCGGCCAGACGTCACCACCGCATTCGCACTACGCTCCCCAGCAGTCACAGCCCAAGTACCAGACGCTCGAGGAGGTGGAAGGGAGGATCTACACGATTGCCAAGGATCAGCATGGCTGCCGCTTTTTGCAGCGGAAGTTCGACGAGGGAGGACCCGACGACGTAGCCAAGATTTTTGCCGAGATCATCGATCATATGGTGGAATTGATGACGGATCCGTTTGGAAACTACTTGATCCAGAAACTTCTGGAATGCTGTACCGAACCCCAGAGACGTCAAATACTCGATCGTGTTGCTGTGAAGTCGGAGCTTGTCAACATCTCCCTCAATATGCATGGGTGAGTTCTTCAATGTCTATATTCTCTTTTTTTTGTTTTGTTTTGTGTGTTGAGAGAGACAGACAGAGAGACAGACACACAGAGAGAGAGAGAGAGAGAGAGAGAGAGAGAGAGAGAGAGAGAGAGAGAGAGAGAGAGAGCATTCGGATTCTTGCCCTCAAAACCTGTGTGATTGTTGTCCTTCGTACAACCTATGTGTGATTGTTGGAAAGTTTTTTGTCCTTCGTAGATGTCTAGATCATTCGATTGTCGAGTCTACCTTTTCTTCCTTGTCGACCGTCAGAACACGATCCATGCTTCGGTTCGTATGATCCCGCCTGGATACAGCTTTCTGTTATGGCATTGTCGCCCTCGTAGCGTCTCGAGTTCCTTTTCCTACGTCAATCATTGACATTCTGTTTTCTTATCTTCCTTGCTCGGCGGCCACCTGCCTTCGTTGTGTGTGCGCCACACTTGTCCCGCGATTTCCATTTTTGCGGGGGTCTTTCTACTGTCAGGTGCCGGTTGGGAGGGCGTGCTGGTGCTGATAGGGGGCTTTTTAGACACTAACTGGGCGCTGTGCTTATTTCTCAAGGGCTGTGCTATGTCCCCTTTTTTTATCATTCGCCTTGGTCACGACTCGGATCACATCTTACATAGCCCCCCCCCTCTTCTTCTTCGCTGCTTTTGCCCTTTCGGTAATGCCCTCGCCCCAATTTTCTGAGAGTATTGTTTCCTGTGCCCACAGCAACCGTTCCTGCATTGGCCATGTCTTCAGTGGCATCTTTCCTCCTGCTTCTATCTTGTTACTATTTTGCGTTCTTACGTTCTCCTCTCTTCTTTGATCTTCAATTGCCTGGCTTAGGCCCCTGTTTGTCCCCTATGTCCTCACGTCACTTTCCGTGCCTTAGACTCGCTGATGCCCGTTCGACTCATCTGCATTTCCGCTTTCCCCTTCCGACTCTTCCTTCCGCTTTGCGCCAGTCTCTCCGCGCGTCTTCCAGGTTCTTTCCCCGGCTGTCTTCGCGCTTCTCTCCCGCATGTCACCGCTCCTATGTTTCCCTTTTCGCTTCTGCCCCCTCTCTGGTTCATTGCCTCTCTGCGTTCGTCTCTGTCGTTTTTTCTACCTCGATTTCCCCCCTCCTGTTGTCCCGTTTTGTTCCCCTCGCTCTTTCCCGTGTTCTTCATCTTTCTTCGTTGTAATCCCCCCTCGCTCTGCCGGTCTGCAACTCTTCGTTCCGTTTTCCGCCTCCACCCCCTGTACTCACTTCCTTCACCTTTCCCCTTGCATCTCTCCGTCCCTTTACCCTGTTCTTTTTTTCTCATTCTCTCCGCCTGTGCTCTCTCCCACCTGTGTATGTCTCTTCCTCTCTCTTTCTCTGCTTCAGCATCTTCTCTTCGCCTTCTCCACACTTCACTTTCCCGGTCTCTTCCCCGTTCTTCTCTCCCGCTCTGTCTTTGTTTCCTCCCTCCCCTTCTGCCCCCCACTCCCACTTTGTCCCTTTCTCCCCAGCTTGTCCACTTCGCTCACTCCTCTTTATCGCTCAGTACCCTACCCCTTCTTTGTCACGCACTATTTTCCATTTGTTCTCCTCTCCGCATCTCTTGTCCTCGGCCCGTTCTTTTGTTTCTCTGCCCACCGCGATTTCCTCTTCGCGCCCTGTCGCTCCCTCTCTCCCCATCTCTTGCTCTCCTTCCCTTATCTCGACACTTCCTTCTTTTCTCCCGGCCACCTCCTCGTTAGGCTATCCCTTAACACGGTGTTTCTGACCCTTCCCTCTTTTTTGCGTTGTTTTCTATCCTTGCCCCCGCGGCGTCCGACCTCTTTGCACGCTGCCGTTCGCCCGTCTTCCCGTCTCTGTCTCCCTGCTTGCCTCCCTCCCTTGTCCTTTTCCCATCTTCCAATCGTTCTCCCCCCCCCCCCCCCCCCTTTCTCTCTCCTTTCTCTCTTTCTCTGTCTCCTCCCTTTCCTGCGTTTTCTCGTCCTTGCGACATCTTTCTCACGCTAAGATCTCTCCCTTACATCCACTCCCATGTTTAACCAGTCTCCTTCATCCTGTCCACTTTATTTTTATTTTTATTTTTTTTTAAACCTGTCCACATTTTCACAACTCGCCAAGGTCCAGCACCACAACTACGACTCACGCCGCAATGATTCGTCGTTCACTGCGAGCGTCTGTCCATTCCCGCCGGATTGACTTCGCAGGCGTATGCGCATGCCTGCCGTCGTGTGTTAATAAGTAGCTGCGGTGTGGGATCAACCCTTCCTTCGTCGGGCGCGCATTCGCATTCCTTACTTTCGTCTGTCTCGATTGCTATGTATGGCCGTATGATAATCTGTAGTGCTCTCATTCTCGTTCCGCGTCATATTCGCTATGTCTGGCGTTCTTTCCTTTTCTCTCTCCTTTCCTCCTCTTCTCTCCTCGTCTCTCTACGCTCTGGCCTTCTCCTCCTCCCTCACCTATCTTTCTTTTCTTCTCGTCCGGGTTTTACTGATTTTCCTCCCACCAGCATGCTTTGGATGTCATTGGGTGTTTTCATCACGTGGCGAGAAGGGAGGCGATTTACTAATTTCCCGCTGCGGTACTCCTTTTTTTTTTTTTTTTTTTTTTTTTTTAGCTTGTTGTTTGCCTTGGGTGTGTAATTAGACAGGCGAGGCATTTCGCGACCGGTAATTTCCGCGTCTTTCTGAAGCGGGTCGGAGCAAGTCCATCGATGACGTCATCTACACTATGCCGGGATTTTGAAATCTCGGACGAGACGGATGACGAGTCGTAGTGATGTCTGTCTTGGGAGACCTCAGTGGGAGGTGGTAAATTTTACCACCGTCCCTGTGGAATGAGAGGTCGTTTGAACTCTTTTATTTTTTTTTATTTCTTTTGAAGAGAATAGCCAGCCCCTGAACTTTATTGTGTTCGTCTTCGTCTACTGCTAGTTCCATCATTAGGATTCGAGCGCATGCTCTGTTTACTAACAGGGACATGTGTGCCATTGAGCAAAAAACACATAGACTGGGTATTCTTTGTACTTTCCCTTTGATGCCTTTCTTTGTTGATCCTCGTGGGTGGTAAGGTGTTTTGCTATTTCAGGCCTTTGATGCCTTTCTTTGTTGATCCTCGTGGGTGGTAAGGTGTTTTGCTATTTCAGGAAACCGCTCTTCTCGTCTTGCACACCTGGGTCCCGGCTGTTTCCGTGATCCATTCCTATTTCGGAAACGTTTCGTACCGTCTCATCTACGGTCACCCGCCAGCGGATTAGAGAGGGGGCGGGGGGGGGGGGACAAGGGGGTCGGGAAGGGGGCAGTGTCGCGGATTCTCGTGGAAAGGCAATCTATCTCATCTCACCCCGATGTGGATCGAACGGTTGCGCGTGAAGTGCCTTCTGCTGCATCTCGCGGTTGTGGCGAGTCCTCACTGTTCATTGATTCGGTGGGTGGGCGAATGGAGGAGGAAGAGACCTTGTTAACGAAAAGGGCTGATTACGCGCGAACACACCATGACCATGAGGACCGTGAAGGTGTGTAATGTGGGACAGCTGGGACGACGAGTGATGATGTAGGTTATGGGATGATGATGCCTTTGCGAAAGAGGAATGGCCGCGGTTGATGGTGGAACGACCGCGCGCGAAGTGCCTTCCTTTTCTGATGCACTTTCGGTGGTGACGGTCAGTCACCACTGTTCAATCAGTCGGTCATTCGGTCGTTCAATCAGTCGGTCATTCGGTCATTCGGACAACACAAAGACAATGTTGACAAAGCTGTGCTTGTGTGGGGAAGGATTCCATTTTGGATTGGTCATTGCCATTTTGCCGCCTTTTCGAGTTCATATAGGACATTGCAGGTTGATTAACGTTGCCGTTTCTTTTTTTGGTTCGGGGGGCGAAAGGTTGGCCGCGGGGGGGGTGGGGGGTGGGGGGAAGACGCGCTCAAGGGTGCAAATTTTGTGTCCTGGACCCTTGAAGAAAGGCAATTAATTGAAGGGGGGCATCTGATCCTCCTCCCATTGTCCTCTATCCATATCTCCTGGCCGATTCGTTTGCAATCGAGTTCTGATCTGGCGCGGTGGTGAATCTGTTGTCTCGTCTCCTTGATTAGATTTTGTTGTGGGTATGAATGGGAAGATGTTGAGACGAGAGAGGCGTCTGCTCTTTGTGCCTCGTCGGTGCAAAACCAGGATGTGTTAATCACGCTGCGAGGAGGGGGATCAAAACGAATGCTGTGGTTGGTCTTCGATTTGATCCTCTGAACAGAGCCCTCGTTAAGTGAAACTCCAATCTACCTCACCTCTAGGCTGCTGATTATGTTTACCTTGGGGATGCCGATCCCCCGATATTGATGTGACGTCTATTGGGAATCTGCTCCTCCACGTAAACGAAGGACATGCGGCTCCAAATGTCTCTCTCCTATATTCTTAATCCAGTATATTGCTACGAGACTATCAAGAGTAAGCCTGGTAACATGACTCCTGGAAAGGCGCGAAGCGCTCTTGATGGACTTACAAAAGAATGGTTTACTCGCTGAGCAACTCTTCTTCAACAAGGGCGCTTCGATGACCTCGTGGAATGTCGTCGTTTATCAATTGATCATAATCGATAACTGATCTAATCTCTCCTCCTTTCAGTTGACGATACCTTGCTTACGTTGGGGAATCCAACAACCGTCGAGGTGGATTAATATCCATTCTGATTACATTCCTTGAAATACTGTAAATCTCTCCTTCCTTAATGCGTCGTAAGAGTATGTCCTTTATCTCTACATTATAGCTGTATTTGGGGTATCTTTCAGTCTAAATGCAGCTATAATGACCGTACGTCATATTCGGGGGAAGAAGGGTAGATGACGTTATGTGTGTGTTGTCCCTATCGGGATCTATATCAGATGACGGGTAGATAGAGTTTCTATGTAGAATCTGTGCTGCTTAGGGCCTAGTTTCTGCACCACTAGCCATCCGCTGGCATTGTGAATGTATCTGGGCATGGACGTTGTCCCGACGCTTCGAAAATCTTGAAGGATGGAGAGTGGT